GTAAGCGTATGTACTGTGGAGTATAGGGGTGGTAAGTGGAAAGACTGATATCATGAAGCAACACGGCCTTGTAAGCGTATGTACTGTGGAGTATAGGGGTGGTAAGTGGAAAGACCGATATCATAGTGTAACACAGCCTTGTAAGTGTAGGAACCGTGTAGTATCGGGACGGTATCTGGAACGACCGATATCACAGTGTAACACAGCCTTGTAAGTGTAGGTGTTGTGGAGTACAAGGGTGGTAAGTGGGAAGACCGATATCATGAAATAACAGAACTTTGTATGCGTAGGTGCTGCATATAAAATGAGCCAAACTAATAGCAAAATCAAAATTATATATATAATTTGTCTGTTACATGATTGAAGGTTACAAAAGTGATAAAAACACTGTTGGTGAATGTAAATATGTATACATATATATTAATAAGCAAACATTTTTTTCTTAGTTTCGATGCTATGTTCATTTTATAATTGTCCAATTGAAAACAATCTTCCGCTGTGTGGTTTTGCTTCGCTTAATGTTAGGCGTTTGCATTTTAAGTAAAAACTGATGTAATCATAATACAATGCTAATCGAATATTGAGATATCGGTAGATTAACAGTGATCTGTATATCATTCTTAAGAACGACCACGCAATCTTAGAGACACTGTATGTAGAAATCTAATATTCAAGCAATTACGATTCATTTGTTTTATTTAGTGTTTATGATGACGTGTACGATAACCTGATTTAGTAAAATGAAATGAAAATAATTGTTATGATTTGTCTAAAATAACGGCAGACAGAAGGCAGACAGATTTTTACGTAGGTGCATAATACTGTAAACATAGAAACCCGTCTTCAGTATTTCTAAAGAATGATATTGTCAATTAGTGTATGAACGCCCTCCAGCGGTAAGTCTGCGGACTTATAGTACTAAAAACCGGATTTCCGTACCCATGATAGGCACAGCACAGATAACCCGTTATGTAGCTTTGTGCTTAACTATAAACAAACAATAGTATAAATCTGAAATCTCTTATTTTTGAATTAAGGATTCTATATTTATTCAACCTATAATTATACTAAATATAACACTAACCAAAAATAATTCTGTTTAGCCTTTTTAATTTGAAACAAGTTACTTCTCAGTTCTATATGAGTTCGTATATATGTTTTTTAATAGTAATCTGGAAGAGAATGTTGTCGCAAGTCGTTACGTTTTACTTAAAGATACCCAATAAACTTTGGCTATAGATTATTTTTCGTCTCAGCGAATACCAAATTGCTTAACAGTGTTTTATCGCTAAGTCAGTAATCAACATTCGACACATAACGACTGGTTCCAGTTGTATAAACATCGTCACCAATTATATCGAGACTTTTAACTATCGTTATTTCGTACTTGTGGCCTGTTTGTAAATATGATTCTAAACCTCTCATACGTGACAAGTAAGTTCACGTTGGTCGTCTACTTTGTGTAGTTTTAAAGATGTGAAAAGAGTCAATAACAATGCCAGAACTATAAGCTACCTTACGAAAATAATAAAACAAACAAAAACAATGTAGGTTAATTATCACAGTTTGTAAATCTCTCCCACACTTCAGTATTAGATGTTCGAAAGTAGGTCAACAAAGAAGAGAATAGGAAGGACTTAATACGCACGAGCGGATCCTATAAGAGAGCTACTCTCTCTCGCCTTATTCTCTTAAAGAGGACTGTTTGTTAAAAAGAGAGAGGAGCGTCGTCACGAGCCAGCGAAGAGGAATTATTTGGTTAACTGACGTAGTGCAGTAATCACTTCCTTATTTTCTAAGCTGACAATATACCTTTAAAAATGAGAAACTGTATTCAGGGAGCTTGGAGATTCAAAACATGGTCACTGATGTCATTCATGTATTACTGAAATAGTAGAATTAAAACGTGTTTATAAGAACAGTTAAACATGAAAATAGTTTGAAAAAAAGGTAGCTTTACCTTAGCACAGTAAAGGCACAAGGAGAAAAAGCTTTTACAGGGGCCAGTTACTAAATAATATGTAATAATTGTTATTTAATAGTTGCACATGTTTGTCCGTAGGGACTACATGACTCTTGAATGTACATGGTTATAATGTCAAAGTTCTTGTCACTATAAGTGAAGTTATGCTTAACTTCAAGAACTAACTCGAAGGCTGAAGTTATTTGTAGTTTTATTTTGTATTTAGAATAACATATGTTGGCAAGGCTTCAATTAGTTATGAAAGATGGAACACTTGTCAGTTGATTTCACTTATAAGGAAGATGATACTTATTTTCGGTAACTACAGACACAAAACATTGTATGTTTTTAATTCGGTTTTGCCTGAGCGTATTTAGTTATTAGCAATAGGTTTCTCTCACACCTTTTTCAGTCTGACCTATGTAAATGCGTCCACATTCTCACCAAGGACAAAGTGAATACAATGGAGAAAAACGCGTAATTAGAAAATAATTTGTGAATGTTTAAGGATGTACAAAGGCCAAATTTAAAGGAAATTAAAAATACAGAGTCATGAACATAAGCGAAATGTTAAAAAATAGGTATTCCCCTCATTAGCCGAAGATGTTAGTATAACACAACGCATGATCCAATGGGGAAAAATGTTATTAACTCAATCTAAAAATGACAATACCAGACATATACATGAATGATTGGAGATGTTTAAATTTAATATAATAACGTATCAAGCAAGGATGAGGGATTAACGGGGTAGATTGTATGTAGGTGGTGTGATATTCTGAAGAAACATATAAATTAAGACAGCACATAAACAGTGTAATGTTCTTGTGATTTATACACTTTAAGATGAGAAGCGTCGAAACATGTAGAGTGTACTTGAGACTAGACCAATTAAAAGAAATAAGATTATTATTGGGTAAAACAAATAAAGTTGTTGTTTTTAACTTTATTTATTTATTTATGATTTTACACAGATGTCCAAGTATTTTATCCCTATTACATATCTATATGAGTGTGCACTTATACACGTAGTGTATTTAAAATTGGGAAGTATCCTAATACGTATTTATTTATTTGAAAGGAGGAATTACACATATTATATTATGTATTACATAATTAGCGTATTTGATCCGAAGATCAAAACCGTTATCAGTTTTTGTTTTTAAGTTAAAATCTTCTTTTTAAATCGACTCCGTGGCTCGCTGCTATTTCTGAGAGCCTATGTCGATAAAAACCGGGTTTCGATACCCGCGGCGGGAAGAGCGCATTTTGCTCATTACACCCCTTTGCGCTTAACAACAAACAAACAAATTATTTGTACATACGTTTTTATTTATGACATATCTATTTTAATTCGCCAAAGGTTGAACACGTTCTGCTGATTGTTGGTTGAACAAGTTTGATGCAAAGTTTCTAATTCTCTTTGTGAATATTTCTGCTAACGCTATTCCATTTAGTTTCTCTTTTATTTACGACGTTATTAACAATTCAGTTTTCATATGTCTGTCCAACTTTAATGGAAAATAAATTAGCAGTTGGGATAGAACTTTCGCTGAAGTTAGCTTATCATTACCGGCACATAGTGTCGACATCACCCGATAGTTAGCGTTCCTATTTATACCTCATTTGTCAATCTCTCAGCACAGCGAAACGTTTGGCGTCTGAGAATCTATATCTTCCAAAGTCAAGTGCAACTTCTTTTGTATAGCATCGTTATAGCCTAAACTATACAATCTAGTTTCACGTGATTAATGTGAAAGTTCGCATCGAAGCTTTCTATTCCAGTTTGATAGCAAATATGCATGATAGCAAAGTCTTAATTACTGAATATATATATAGATATGCACACGTATAGAAACAATATATGTAACAGGACGGTTTTAACAACCTCTGTCGATTTTAACTCGAGTTATTTTACTCCTCATCTAGTGATATGGAAACATTGGATATGCCAAAATTAATACACATTAAATATGCTACACTCCGTGGACGGAAAATAAAATCTTACGTTGTGTGTATTTTTCATAAAGTTGTACAGTGACTATCTGCGATATGCCTGCTCCGGGGGTTAAACCCTGAATTTTAGGATCATAAGCCCTTAAGCTTAGCGCTGATCCGCCCAGAAACATTCAAAATACAATCACGGATGGTATTATGACAAATAAATTCGAAAATAACTTTGTTCTGTGATTGATGACGTTGTAACGTCGAAACATGTAGAGTCGTCAACTTTTGAAGGCCACAGATAGGCCTAAATAAATGTTTTTAATTGTGTACCAGTTTAACGTTGAATATTATTTCTGATTTTAACCAAACAACATCTTAGAATAATTGTTTGTTTGTTTTGAATTTCGCGCAAAGCTACACGAGGGCTATCTGCGCTAGCCGTCCCTAATTTAGCAGTGTAAGATTAGAGAGAAGGCAGCTAGTCATCACCACCCACCGCCAACTCTTGGGCTACTCTTTTACCAACGAATAGTGAGATTGACCGTCAAATTATAACGGCCCCACGGCTGAAAGGGCGAGCATGTTTGATGTGACGGGGATTCGAACTCGCGCCCTAACCACCTAGTCATGCCGGGCCTCTTAAAATAAAAACAAATAGAATCGCTTTTATTCATAGAAAGGAGTTAAGAAGTTCGAGCTTTGCCTAACAACTATAATATTTGGGGGAAGGAAGGCTATGATACTGTGTTGTTTCTATCAGAATTATGTTTAAAATTTCAGTTGTTAAGATTTTCCTATTATTCAAAATGGTTAAATTACTTTTTATTCCTCTTCACTGTGTTTAGTACTGGTGTGATGAGCATTGCTTTCTGTATTACAAGTTCTAGATTCGCTGCTAAGTTCGATATTTGCAAATTGTCATAAGCATTTGCAAAAATATATTAATAGTCCATCTGTATGTCACTGGATGAGCGACGAAAAACAACTATAAAAAAATTATTTAAACATATAATGATAAATTTAGTTTTCTTATAAACCTTAATGTCCGCTATATGATTCTCCTACACTGATGATACAAACATATCCTCACCTGCTAATCTCAAAGCTGACATCCGCTGGAACTCTGGCTCTTCCAACCATTTATACATCCTGCGAAAGGTCTCCCTGCCGGACTTCAGCTTGCTCCAAGGCTTGGGATTCCGCAGCAGATCGGAGAGGGTTCCTTGGGACCGGCACAGCACCCGCTGGGCGAAGATGGCTTGAGGGATGCTGTAGCGCTTCAGCTCTGCACTTATTCGCTGGGCCAGTTCTTTTGTGTTGATCTCTTCCACTTCGTCAGCTGCTCCACCCTTAGAACTGTTGGGAGTCTGACACCCCGAGTTTTTTATCGTAATCCCAGCTTGGGCGGCGGAAGAGACAGCGTTAACCCCTGTGTTGTGAACTGAAACAGGACTCAAACTGACCATGGGCTGAGAAAAGGAGGAGATTCCTAAGCTGATATTAGACACGCACGTCTGGGCGGTCAGGGCTGCTACGTTTACGGGCTTGATGTCTTGGTGCTCCGGTGGTGTTACAGGGACTTGCAGGTGCATCGATGGGGGCGTGTGTGGTGCATTAAGTCCGTTCAGTGTAGGCATCATGTTAGTGGGAGAATGGAGACTCACAGTGGGGCTCTGGGGAAACCCCAAGCCACGTGATAAGTCCCGATGATGTGAATAGGAGTCATATGTGTTGGGAGATATAGCTTTGTCAGGAGAATGCAAACCGTTCTGAAGGTAGGGGGGTGAAGGGATCCCTGTCTGCTGGGCCATTGTCCCAAGTCCATTACTGGTCATCATTGACATGGCAGATGGGTGAGTTGCCCCAAGAGTAGGGCCCATGTTCATAGGGGCCATCCCTCCCACATGGCTTAGTTTATCATATTGATAACTATTCATACTCATACCCAAAGCATTGTTCTGCATCAAGGAAAAACCGCCGCTGACGTTACCAGTATGGCCATAGTGACTAAATTTGTCTGACATGGTAGAAATGGGTGGCAGGGGCTGAAGCGGAGTAAGAGTAGCGTAACTGTTTGCTACCGAAAGTCCAGGTGACATCCGGCCATTCAAGCTTTGATAACTGGGCTCAGTCAAGCCCCGAAAGTCCGAGGCGTCGATCATCGTGGAGGTTACTGTTTCTTCGTCCGAGTCTGAACGCGGAATGTCCGAGGTTATCTCGTGGCCCGGGAGTAGTTCGGGCGGATCTGTCACGGGATCGACACTACCGACCGTCTCAACTGAATCGACAGCTTTCTCTGACTCCACTGATTCAACTGATCCGACCACTGGCACGGCTGCCTCACCGACGCTTGGCTCGCTGCTGATTTGTTGTTCACATAACTCTCCCATGTTTTCCATGATTTGCGCGTTTTAATGACAATCCAAGTTCATTGAACGCTCCTGTGACACTCCTAGCTTTGCCGTAGATGGATTTTAACGATCGGTGATTAGATTTTTGGGCGTAGTTACAGCCTGGGAATGGGCAAGCTGCTAGCAAACCTGTACATTACCGCCATGTTTACACTATAATAACTGCACATCAACATCTGCGCAATCCTTGGGGCAAATAGCGCACGCGCACTGTAGGTATTGTGCGTTTTTGTTCGTCTGCTTTTGTCTCGCAGCCATGCAGGAGTGAGCACTCAGCTTGCAGTAAGCCCGAATGTCTCATCATTCATTTGTTGAAAAGGGCAGAAAACATTCAAACATTTCTAAGTTATAAGAAGTTTTCATTGTATATTCCAATAATCTCAAGTTTTCCAGATTTTCTGCTAAATGACATGTCTTCTTAGAGGTCCTCGCACGTGCTGCTGGCATGAGCATTTAGAAGCAGACGAATTTCCAATACCTCGGAACGCGAGATCGATATTAATTATCCTCTTTCGTAGATCTTGAGGTCTGAGAAGCATTCTTTGCCACTCCTGCGCTTCGTCCGTGCCACCTTCTCACGTGGTTAATCGGTACAAAACGTTTCGTATTAACATGCCCAAGAAAAACGTTTCACCAATCTGTAAAAGCTTTAACGCAACCATATCTAAGGTTCACGAGTGAGAAAAACTCTCAAACATTATCAGATATTTTACCCCACTTCGAACAGGTACGTAGTTAAATCAACTCCTTTAGCAACAGAAAATAATGCTTCCAGTTTGTATTCTCAAGAAACCTTTTAGCAAACTGTTTTGGTTGGATGAAAGTGTGTACGAAAAATATTCGGTAAACGTTAAGTTAATACAACCCTATTCTTCAGCTAATGGAATGAAAATATTTCTTGAACACCATTACGAAAATAGTTAAAACGCAACCAATAAAAAAGTAAAGCTATAAAATGTATGTGTGATATACTGTAATCATTCAGAGCCCTTTAGTTTTCTTTTTTTATATGAAAGGATTGTTTGGTGAATATATTTTTAACTTTCATTGACAATGTCTAACCCTTTGTTTTACATAAGTGCCTACTTGTCCCGGTAATTCTAACCTCAGGGATAATATAGGCTTACTTTGATAATGTTTTTCACACTGAATCTGATGATATATGGTTTCTAAAGCATTTAATTAATAAAATATACAACACCTCAATCACATATAACATGTTGATATTTTGCCAAATTTTCTTGTTTTTCGTGACTTCTACGAATAGAGAAGGTCTGTTCGCGAAAGGGTTAAAAATGAGTTCAAACATCTTATTTCTGCGTAATCATAGATTATCTCTTATCAATAAGAAAAGCTAAACAACGCTAGCAGTAAAAGTTCAATTTTGAACAAAATGGAATGAAATTTACTTGGGAAGAAATTGTTGGCCTCTTCCGCTAGTTCCCGGTTTCCATCGCAACACTTGTGAGAATTGTAAGTGCAATCTCTAAAATTTTCCGCTACGAGAGAAAAACCCATTCTCAGTTTTGCATCTAAAGTTTAGGGAATGCACATATGATACATTGGGACGGGTATGTCTTACAAACTGTATAGGTTGGCCTTAGAATTTATAACGACGTCTTTATATCATTGTAAGTGATCGAAACCTACTTAAAGCTTTACAGAAACAGGGAAGAATCCTTTGGTATATTTTAAGTTTTGTAATGAAAATGTAAGTTACTTTAATTTAACTTATAAAGTAACTACTGCTTTAAGCCATAAATATTATAACAAACCACTTTAACCCTATCCTTTCAGAAGAGCAACTAATTTTACACAATTTGCCCAAGAAAATACTCCCTTTTCTTAGAAAAAAAATCAAGCAAAATATAAATCTAACTTCATTTATCGACAGGTGAGTCTTCAGATAATTTATCTGTTGTTTTTCTCCAATAAAATATTTTAAGTTGATTCAATACAGAAAAAAAGAGCATAAGTATCCATTAATAATCTTGTTTCTATATCTACAATGTCAAAATATAGTTCTGATACGAGTGTCTCCACTTTCTATCGGCTTTGGTTGAATCTTAACATGTCATATAAGAATAACTTACTTCAGAATAACTACATAAATGTTATAATTCTTTGTTTAATAGAAACGCGTTTTCATGAAAAGAAATTAAAGTATTTATCTATGTATTTATCCTGAAATAAGTTATTCTTATACATTTCATATTTACCATACTTATAAACTTGCCCCTATATAAGACCTACTACTATGTAATTCTAAGAGAACCTTTAAAGATCTTGGCTGCAGCATAGACTGATGGAGGATGGGAGCTATACTAACAATCTAGGTTGTGCTTGTACAGTAATACCTTAACATCGTGGTCTTTATGTCCAAACATCATTATGGAGGCTGGAATGCCAACTTCAAGGACAGTTTTACTGTCTCCCCCATTGATGTATGTATGTATTCCAATTATTTATTTCTTCTTAACTTAGCGAAAGGTGTTAAGGATGTGAGACGTTGTGGGCTAGAGCAACAATATCTCTCTTTATTATTATTATTATTATTGTGAATGTAAGGCTTGCGAAACTGAGGTTAAACTGGATAGACGGTGTACCCCAACGAAATTTGGGTCTTACTTCCGCCAGTACCTCAAGAACCAGGAGACATTGCATAACTACCCACCTTATGGTGTGTGCCCAGGTGATACATGTCTGTTTTGTAGCTCCATTGTTTCTTTTTTCTTTCATTTTCTACGTAATGTTACTATTAATTATTTTGTATCTAAGGTTTGGATATGCTGTGTTGAATTCACGCTATTCTTTCTTATGATGTAATTACCTCTTTTTTTCTATTTTCTATTTTTAATTATATTTATAAATATACAGAGGTTAAGTACGTTCTATTAACAGCACGATTCTGGAGTCTCACCTCATTGTAACAGTCCATTTCGCCATGTCCGGTCTTTCTCTATCCGACGACCGTGCATCTTGATAAAAACCATACAGCGTAATTGCCTTCGCAGAAAGCTTCACCGTAAGGCTGTATTGTCCAAAACACAATATTCCTCAAATATGCTTTTCATAATGCGTTTAGTCTACGAGTATGAAGATTTTCCAGCGTTCTTTTCAACAGTTAGATCACATAGAAATCCATAGTCTGCTTTATTGGGTTATCATGAATGCCTGTTCCATTTTTCAACTGCTTGAAGAAATTCAAACGGAAATAATTTTCAGTTGTATTGTATTCTGTTGCCTGGAGCACTTGGACAACTTTTGCTACTGATCTTTATGTATGTACATTTTCACCTGTTACAAGACGCCGCATTCTTAACACGACTGGGATACGATTTGTCGTATATCTTTTTCTGATGTCCCAAGTTGATCCATATTCCTTTTATTCCAAAGACATTAATAATAAAGAATTTTCCCGAATTAATCCCTGATCTGAGCTTGTCTTTATGATCTGAGCATACGAATATTTTGTATCGGAATAGGTTGTTACTTACATACCCTTTCTAAAAACAATAAATTTCGGTAGCATCACACTATCTACGAAACGCCAAATAATGTCAAAATATGGTTCTGATACGAACTCTTCACTTTCTACCGGCTTTGGTTGAATCTTAACATGTCATATTAAAGATCATTTTAATATAATTTACTCCGCCCTTTGTCATTTAAGCTTAAAAGGAGGTGAGAAATAATATGACTGAATGTTTTAACTGATATAAGAGTTTACTTTATATCCATTTTTGTGTTCGTATTAGGAAACATTAGAACTTATTTAGCACTCGAAGTTCTGGGTTTTATTGGTGAACGAAAAGGGCTTGCTTAACATGTAAAATTATGAGTTTCACATGATAAATCAAAATAGTTTCTTTAATACATAAAGTTCTGTGTTTAACATGATCAATTCAAATATCTCATTTAACATGTAAGTTTCTGAATTTCACATGATGAATCAAAAGAATCTATAACGCTTAAAGGTTTGAGTTTCACATGAATCAAATGAGTATGTTTATATTTAACATGAAAGGTCTGAGTTTGATGTGATGGATCAAAAGTTTTTAACGCGTAAAATTCAATATTTCACATGACGATTCATTATTCAAAATAAGTGTTAACTTATTCTATATTCTTTCGTGCATCATTTCAGTGTTTTGGAAAACTATGTCACCACATGTTTTCTAAATTGTCGGTTTTATTAACCCAAAGGACTTTTGATTCGCCGTATAGGGTACGATCCGCCTCCGGCAGTTGAATGCGAGTTTGCCGTATACAGTGTAAGGCTCGCAAAAATTCCGCGCGCATTTCAAGCAGCTGCAATCAAAGCGACAAAATTTTTTTACAATGAAGCCATTTCACGCCTTACTAATCTTATCAACGCCGCCAGTTTAACTAAGTACATTGTTTAAAATACTAGCAACTTCTTATAGGGCCCGGCATGGCCAGGTGGTTACGGCACTCGACTCGCAATCTGAGGGTCGTGGGTTCGAATTCCTGTCCCATCAAACATGCTCGCCCTTTCAGCCGTGGGGGCG